TGAAAGTTTGAAAGCTTAAAAGTTTGAAAGTTTGAAAGTTTGAAAGTTAAAATATTTATAGGTTTGAAAGTTTGAAAGTTTGAAAGTTTGAAAGTTAGAATATTTGTAGGTTTGAGGGTTTATATTTATATGAATGTTTGTTGTTATGTATATGTTAGAACTAGTGTCGCGAGATTATTGTTAACAGTGCTTGAATTTTTCATGATTTTTGGCAAGTCGTCGGTTCGAGAAAGTTCATGGTGAACTGAAATGTACCAATTGAGAGTCAAACCCGACAATGAGGAATCCATTGATTTGTTTTTTGGATTTACTGTTGATCTTTGAAGATATAGTGGTTCTGAAGGTGAAGAGAAAGTAAGTTGAGAATAAAAGTGGAATATAGTGTGGCTCGGCGTATGGATTTTGGAAAGTATTGATAATATATGTTATTTTACGAGAGTTAATTGAAATTCAGAATGTTTCTTTCATTGATGATTAATTTCCTGTTCGACGATAAATCCATAAATATCAACTCGACGAAATAATAACTAACCAACCGCAAAAAGTATCGAATACGTAATTTCTAGGTTTGTTTCCATATTTAAACAGAGAAAATTACAATGTCCCCGGAATGTCGCAGTTTTCCATGCAAATGAAGCAATTTATTTAAAAACCGAACACCAGGCTGGAGGAATATTGAAGTCGCGGTCGTTTTATATCGGGATTAATATGGAATTGCCGTTGAGCTAGAAAAATGCAGATGGAATGAATTTGTTCAATATTTACTGGAAACAATCATTTTCCCTTTAATCCGCGAAATTGGAAGTTGCACCGAACAACGAAGTTAATTTCTATCTGCGTTGCTATTGAATTACAATTTCGTTTAATTTCTATTAATCGCATTCATATTCACTCAAGTAATCACCGATGAAATTTAACTCGTGTATTCCAAAACAACACGAGTTCATTGTTTAACGTTATCTACACGAGTTATCGATTTAACTGTCTCCAGCTTACTCGTATCTATTTAACAGCGATAGTCGCCATATGCGTTCGCGAAAACGTTTACATAGCAAGTACTTCGTTATCATTTCTCTTTTATTATATTTATTAAATACAAACACTCTATTTTCTAAGAAAAATTACACTGCAAACGAAAACAATCCAGTTAAATTGCAAGAAAATTCAATAATATTAACAATAGGTTTAACCCGTCAATTTGACGGATACTGAATTCTTCAAACATTATTTACCAGCAGTTACGTCGATTTCGATGCAATTATGCGAATACATTGCAATATTCTAATTTTCAAGCTACAACTTCCGCGATCTAAATAAGCACATAGTTTCCTAAGAACAACAGAATACAGTAAATCTAGTGTTACGTAACAATATTAACCCTTTGCACTCGAAAGTTTTTCACTGGAAATATCCAACATTTTCCGACGAGATATAGACATCGTTTGAACCTAATTTAACGATAATTCACGGATAAATTAAGCAACGAAGCTATTTTATTTAAATATTTCACATAGCAATACAAAGTTTCATTTAGAATATTAATATTCATAGTTAATGTTTATAAAACTTCATAGTTTTGCTGTATAAAATTGAGTGGTTACTGAGAGTCACCTCTCGAGTGCAAAGGGTTAAGGATGTACACTTAATGAAGATTCGCAATCAACACTCTCAAGGATCAATCGAATAGACAACGAACGAATAAACGGTGAAAAGAGAAATTGATTGCTCGATTTCCGCCATTTCAGGATTCACGGTGTCGCTCGTAAATAATGGTTCCGAAGCGACAAACATTTTCATCGGATTTTTCAACGCAATCTCTCGTCTTATTCAATCGGAGGTAACGGGGCGATCCAATTGTGCCAATTTTCAGCTATCATCGTTATCGCGGATCTGTTTACTCGCGGTCTAATAGCTTTCGCATCTCCGCCAACGCCGCGGAACACGTCCGCAGACTCTCGACGTGAATTTCTGAATTCCACGCTATTCTAGGAACTTTTTCTCTCCGTGGAAAGTTTCGCCTCCCTTCGTGGATCATCAGTATGCGTCTGCGCGCACGAACCGCCGCGGAATCATCGAATATATCTTACCGAGCACCGCGCCGCCGAACTTCCTGCCATAAAATCGTACGATACGAGCTTCGAGACCATTTTGAAACTTGACTTCGCTGTTCTGGAGGTTGGGGCTGTCTTCTCCAGGATTTCCCGGGAATTTTTCGTTGCTTCTTTGACTTTTGCTTCTGAAATGAACTGGAGATTGGGAATTATGTCGCCATTTTGTATTCCATGATTTACGACTGCTCGGTTTAATATTAAAAGTACCGAGCAGTTGAATCGAGTTTTTGGAATTTCTGTGTAGAAATATGTACTCGAAGAGTGCATCTGTTGAGTCTTTAATTGATTTATAATTTGATCTTCGTGACGCTGAATTAATTCCTTTAATGATTTCTCAGAGAAACATCTGCTATCTTTAACACTAGAACTACCGAGCATTTAATACGATTAATATGCGATTCCTATAAAAACTGTAACAGTAGATTGTTTTCAGTTCCTTCAGACGTTCATTATAGTACTCTAGTGAAACTATTTATTTTCAAAATCATTTCGAATATTCAATGCTTCGAAGATATCAATAATTGCTAAACGAAAAAATCGAAAGCAGTCATTTTGACTGGTACGGTAGTTATAGTGTTAATAATTGCAGAAAGCAGACATTAGGAATGGGTTCAGTTGGTTTAATATTAATGTCTGGGAATTTTTGAATTTTAGTGAGTGTTGAGTTAATTGCAACTTATTTCTGTCGTATTGCAATTGTCAATGGCATGAAGTTATTTTGACCTCTCAGTCAATTTCACAATGTACATATTTATTGTGAATATTCTCTCTTAGAAATATTTTAATTAATTTCATATAAATCTATGTATATTTCGATCGAGTTATAGATACTTTTATTTTCGATAATCGTTGGTGTAACAATTATTTGGATGCATGAGGTTTAATTTATAAAATTTAATTGGAAATTGAAGTGTTTCTTGTTAGGGATTAAGAGTAGGTAACAATGGATCATCGTTTATTTTTTCTTCGAATATACAATCACAATTTTCGTTAATATACCTCTCTTTTGCCTAAAAAATACGCCATCCAAGTCGATCACTGGATCGACAGTTACAAGGAGATCAATATACAACACTGTACAATGGAAAACTCGAGTTTGGAACTCTTATCGTATGGCCTTATCGTGGCTGAATCAATCCCAATCCAGCGAGGAATTAAGCGTAAGTATTTCATTCGGCTCGACATCGACACGGTTACTCGTAGAACCTTTGCCCAGAAGTCTCCACCTGGAATGATCGATACAAAGTGTAACGTGACTTTATGAAATCTCGATCTAAGAATAGAAAGCTTCAGCGAGGACCTATATATAAAGTAGCAAATGTACTCGATACTATAGAATCATTAGGAGAAACTTTAACAATAACTTCTAATCTACAGTACTTTACAGAGATTACCATTTTATCTTACCATTCAGAAACAATTGCAATATGTATATTACTCTAGAAAATAAAGTAAAAGTTTTGAAGAAAATTTAGAGAAAATGTTTTAACAAGATCGAAGTAGCAAATGTACTCAATACTATAGAATCATTAGAAGAAACTTTGACAATAACTTCTAATCTACAATACTTTACAGAGATTAACATTTTATTTTACAATTTAGAAACAAATGCAACGTATACGTTACTCCAGAAAATAAAGTAAAAATTGTGAAGAAAATTTATAGAAAATGTTTTAACAAGATTGTTGGGGAATTCTACAATATTGTGGAAATGGATGTATTTGAATGTGTGTGCAATAAATGAATGACGCGACTGTGCGTGTGAGCGCGTTTTGAACGAACGTTCAAAGCATTGGAATATTCTAGACTAAATTGATTTGCTCTATATTGATTTTTATGTTAATGATGTTCGTTCTTTATGAATCTAGAATATTCCAAATATATGTCAAGTTAATGCATGCTAATGAAAGAATGTTCTAGAAAGTGTGCGAGTGAGACGAGAGAATTTGAGTGTATAAATAGTGTGTGCGTTGTTTGATTTGGGGATTGTTTTATTGTGAGTTATCATGAAATAATTATACTGTTTCAAATAAAATTCTCTTTCTCCTACAATATTATTAGAAATTACATTAATTGCAAATTTTACAAGGGTACTGTTCGAAGGAAATATAAAATATATATCAAGATACATTTCAAAACACAAGCAAGATACTCGAGCTGGCAATCCTCTTGCTACGAGTGTACTCGTGATTGGCAGTGAATGGGTTATTCTTAGATATTCAAATCAGAAACAAATCGTGTGAAATGGGAATAATTTGTGTTGAATCGAAATCGAGTAAACAAAATTCGCGTGGAAACAGAATTCGGTGTAATGATGTTTACTTTACCTTGAAATGGTTCGATACACCGTAATAAGGAAAAATGCCGCCGAGGATGTACCGGTAGTAGCCGTTGTGCCTGATACGATATTCACCCTGTTTGATGTCCTCCGGGACTTGCCACGTAATTGTCACTTGACTCGAGCCGAGAACCACTGACGTCCTCTGCCATTCGAATCTGTAACAACGATATCAAGAAAAGTGTTTGATCGTTACCATTTTTGCCATTCGACACTCAAAAATCAATATCGATTTGAAGATCTTTCAGAAGATATTATTGAAGATCTTTCTTTAAGAAATAAAGGAGCACAAAGTACGTTGAAATTTACAATAGTGAGCTAAATTCTTTTTTTCTATTAAACAAATTTTTATAATCTTCAGTTTAGTATATATATAGTATAATGTACAAGTGTTTTTATGTGATAAACTGAAGATTATAAAAATTTGTTTAATAAAAAGAAAGAATTTAGCTAACTATTGTAAATTTCAACTAACTTTCTGCTCCTTTATTTCTTGAAAAAAGAGAATATACTTGAAATATTTAAATTTCGTATGAGAAATTTTAAATAATCGCAATATTTTACGAAGTATTCGCTTATGGTATGATACAAGTTTGTATTTCTCTGTATTTTTATGTGTTTTATGTTAGCTATAAATATGTCGGAATGAACGTGACACGAATGAAATATTTATCCCAATTAAGGAATTGTTACGTGTGATTGTCGGAGAACGTGTATTTACAATGAATATACAGTTGACAGAAAACATACGTTTGATATTTTGGAATAATTGGACGAAGTAAAATCGGAACAGTTGCAAACGAGATACTCGAATGGCTTTAATACTTTTCGTTAATATTTGCATGGAGATACTCGGTACAGGCGGGACCATTAATATGGATGTCTGAGCGGAACACCATAAATATAAATTGCAAATGAATGGGATTTGTGTACCTGGTTTCCCAGTTTGCGTCTGTCGCGACGGGCACCCACACTTCGTCTTTCGTCAGCCTCTCGACCGTCAGGAACGTGTTCTCTGTCATCAGGTTGTTACGCGGGTGACCGGAAATCTGCGCATAGTAATGGAACTGTTAATTATCTGAACAGTAATTTAGGAAAAATTGTTAGTATCATTTGGAAATTTAAAACAAAGTTGGCAATTTTGAATTTTAATTTATAAAATTGATGAGATACGAAAGTTCATCGAACTTATCAGAATAAAATTAATAAAATCGAAACAATTGATACAATTGATAAAATTGATAAAATTGATAAAATTGATAAAATATAAATATTCACTTCACTACTTTAGAATGTCTCTAAACCCTACAGAAATTCAATTCCTAGCTTCAACTTTCCAATGATAGTTCAATAAAAATCCTTCCAAACAACAACACCAAGTTTTCATAACACAATGTAAATCCCCAGATTAGCTTCGCCATCTACGTCAGAATGTATTCCTCAATTTTCATCGAACACGATATTCCCATCGCCTAGTGCAGCCTTCATTTTGGTACATCGCGAATACAAATTGCCTGATTTTGCTTTTAAAGCGCAACGCGAGACAGAAAATGGAACAAAGTTCCGGGTGATACCGCTTGGACAGTGAAAATTAGGCAAGTAGGTATTGTGCAACGGTCATGTTCCTGTAGGATGGATGATTTTCTTTCGACTCTGTTTACTCGGGGATTGGAAAATATCGCGAGTGTCTTAAAAATGATAAGTTTTTCACTTTGCTTTAGATTTTGCTTACTGGTTTGCGTTGCAATAGTAATGTAGTAGTTTGTTCTTTAATGAAACTAATATTTCTTTGGAAGCTTGGAAGTTTGAAGGTTTAAAGGCGTGAAGGTTTGAAGGCATGAAAGTTTGAGAGTTAGAATATTTGTAGTTTTGAAGGTCTGAAGGTTCAAAGGTTCAAAGGTGTGAAGGTGTGAATGTTTGAAAGTTTGAAAGTTTGAAAACTAGAATATTTGTAGCTTTGAAGGTCTGAAGGTTTGAAGGCTTGAAGGTATGAAAGTTTGAAAGTTTGAAAGTTAGAACATTTGTAGCTTCTAAGATTTGAAGGTTTGAAAGTTAGAATATTTGTAGCTTCTAAGGTCTGAAGGTTTGAAGGTGTGAAAGTTTGAAAGTTAGAATATTTGTAACTTTGAAGGTCTGAAGGTTTGAAGGCGTGAAGGTTTAAAAGTTAGAATGTTTGTAGGTTTGAAGGTTTGAAAGTTTGAAAGTTAGAATGTTCGTAGCTTTGAAGGTCTGAAGGTTTGAAAGTTAGAGTGTTCGTAGCTTTGAAGGTTTGAAGGTTGGAAGGTTTGAAGGTTTGAAGGTGTGAAGGCCTGATTGTTTGAAAGTTTGAAAGTTAGAATAATTGTAACTTTAAAGGTCTGAAGATTTGAAGGAGTGAAGGTTTGAAAGTTAGAATGTTTATAGGTTTGAAGGTTTGAAGGTTCGTCGCAAATACAAATCCCTTGGTTTCCTTTTAAAGTACTCCGTGAGGCAGAAAATGGAACAAAGTTCCGGGCGATTCCGCTTCGACAGTGGAAATTAGCAAGTAGGTTTTGCGCAACGGTCGGATGGAACGTGTCAGGTCACGGTGGTCGTTCCGCGATAAAGGGAGAATCCATACGGTCGATACTCACGAAAACAGCTGTGACCGTGTCACCGGGTCTCGCCAGTTTCTGCGGTTGCTTGATACAGTCGCCGAAATTCCGGCCCCACTTTGGGGTGTCGAAAAGCACCGGTGTCACGAAAGTGAGCAGATTCTTGTTGGAAAAATTGGCTGGCGGTGGACCAGGATCTACATTTCTTTTCTGAAGAAAGAACATGGATAATTGGACAGTTAGAAGATAAACTGTTTAACCCTTTGCAATTGACAGGTGAACTACGACTGAATTGACAGGTAAAACAATAAAATCTGATATTTAGTATTAAACTTTATATAATGCATCAATCTGTGAAATATTCAAATAAAACATCATTGTTTCTCAATGTACGTGTCATTTTTTCAATGCGACTTACGAAAAGAGCAGCTGTCACCAGCTCTGTGTACTGTTTCAGATAGATGGAGAGCGTGTAGGGTCCATATATCGTGGATGCGCCCTCGTATCTTTGAATCTGGAGAACGAAAATGAAAATTCACTTAAAAATTATTGAATTTATATTCTATATTCAATAATTCCAACAAAATTGCATTAAAACCCATTGAAAACATTGTATTACTTAAAAATGATCAAATCTATACTCTATATTCAATAATTCCAACAAAATCACATTAAAATCCATTGAAAACATTGTACAGATTAGAAACAATAATTCTAAAAGCATTTCAATAAGATTGTGAAAATATAATGGAAATATACTAAATTGCTTATCCAATCAAGATCGAACGCGTAAATAAAAATCAAACATCCATTGAATCGTAATTTCCCTTCGATTAAAAACAGATTTCTGCAGTTTCGCGAAACCATTCACGACGATTTGAAATCGATGTTTAATGCAATTTCCCCGTGTTCGAAGCATGCAACGTTGGTTCTTTGCGTTCGGAGTGCGTTCACCCCGCGGTCGATCTTAATGCGAAGAAAATGGCCGAAATCCGGCCGCGCGGACGTCGAATACGATTCTGGATTTATATTACTTGATATTCCTCTGGCGTGGTGATGTAATCGCTGTAAGTGTTACAGAGGCCGGCGACTATGACGGTGGTTTCGTCGTCCAACACTTCGTTCATGACCGTTTTGATAGCCTCTCGCAATCTTCTTCCGGACATTGTTGTGAACTCTCCCGGCACACCGGCGATTACTACGTTCCCGATCAGCGCGACCTGCGTCGACACCACTGACGGCTGCCATTCGTACGGCAGAGTCATCTGAAAAATGGCCGACATCTCTATCAATGAAATAGAAAGGACTATCAAGCATAATTTAAACCTAGTGACCTCGTTAACTCTAGTCTAGTCATTTTAGATACGCTACGTGGTGATCTACTTATCTAATTAACTATTTATTTTATTTACTTCCTATTTTAACCAGTTAACTGTGTTTGACGAGTATACACGTCATCTTAACACTCTTAATGGTGCTAACTTTTCCAACGATGGATTATTTATTTTTTCAGACAAACATGTAATTCTTCTGCGTTTCGCTTTAGTTTTTCGATAGGATATATTTTAAGTGCGTTTGGCCTGCATTTAAAGAGTATACACTTCATTATTTGACTTTATTGCGCGCACAATGAGAGATTTTTCAAACTAAATTCCACACTTAATTGGTTAACTATTTATTTATTTATTCATTTTATTTATTTCCGATTTTAGGAAAGTCCCAGGACTAAAATTCATGTAACTATCATAAGAGTCTAAACTGAAACAATAGATTCTTCGATAACACAATATTTGTCGAAGGAATAGTCATTGAAATCTCTTTCTTTCGTTTGGAAATTAATTATTGTTGTTTTGACATTTTATTTGTATGATTTGGGTTCTTACGTTTCAAATACTTAACGTGTTTAGGAAATTGGATAGACTTTGTAATGATTGTGATGCATGAGAAAAGGATTTTAGACATTTTCTCTTGAATAGTAGTTTCAATAGAAATGATTGTTAGTTTACAATGTCACTTGCAACCATTGGAAAATTTAGATGTCCCTAGATTAGTAATTTTGTAAAGTTTAATGGGTAATATTAGAAGTTAATATGTATTTATTACAGCCGTTTCAAACGCACCGATCGTCGAAAGATTTTTCACGGAACTTACGCGTCCAGTGGCGAGCAAAATCGGTTTCGCGCCATGACACTTGATATCCTCCCGCGTGGGTACCGCCAATAAGTTTCTAACCGCGTTCCACAGGGGATTGGCCGTGGTCGTGCCTTGCTCGAATGCGAACGATCCTGGCCCATCGATCGTTCCTGCCGCGAAACTGTACCCCATTGCGGGCAGACAGCCGTGCACCTGGCGATACAAATAAGAAATCGTTGAAAATTCTCGATTGGATTCTATTGTTCCATTCGAAGCAAATGAAACAGTAAAATGACGTTAAGTACCAGGAAATTCAAATCATTTCGATAAGAAACAATTGCGTTTCACTTCCATCCATTACCTTGAGGGCTTCGGATTAAATTGGATATTATTGAAACTATTTTAATTTAAATGTAAGGTAAAAAATTATCTAACTCGTGGGAATATTTATTATTAGCGATATCGTTGGAATAGATGATTCTCATATCAATATTGAAACCTCGACTTTAAATCATTACAGATACTTTAAATTTTAAAGACAAGTATTCAATTTTTAACAAGAACTATAGAAATCAAATTTTCGACTTAGTTAAAAATTAATGTGGCTTATATAAATATTTTTTATCGTTACCAGGCATAAATTCCCAATTGGGGGTTGATAAATTTGAAAAATTCAAATCTAGCTCTACTTTGAATCATGAGACACTCTAACTTTAACGTAAAAACAAATACTAAATCTTTACTAAAAAATAAAATAAAATTGAAATCCAAACCAACTTCCATTTTGAATCATCAGAGACCCGATAACTTGAATGTAAAAACAAATGCTAAATCTTTACTAAAAAATAAAATTGAAATCCAAACCAACTTTCATTCTGAATCATTAGAGACCCTCTAAATTCAACGTAGAAACAAATACTAAATCATTACTAAAAAATAAAATTGAAATCCAAACCAACTTCCACGTCGAATCATCAGAAAGCACTCTAACTTCAACGTAAAAACAAGTACCAAATTTCTACTAAATATTCAAATATAATGGAGAAACGATAATTACCTCTTCGAGTCTCTTCGTGGTCTCATTGTAAAATTCGGCAGTCTGTTCGGGCATATTGACGAACTGATGGACTACGCGGATAGGTCCGATCACCTCCTTCGCGTTCCCGCTCTGCCACAGCCGCTGCAATCACCAGATAACGGAACATGAATAATAGAGCCGAGACCGGGAACAAAACAGGCAACACGTGCGTATACGCAACAAGCTGGGCACGCACGATGCGCGTCCACTTCGGCCAGCTGGAAACTGTTCCTCGACGTTCGCCGGTATTATAATGCTAATGCACTCTTCTCGAAGTCTGTCGGAGGCTTCGCTGACCGCGTCACGGTTAAAGAGCACGCGAAACGGACGTTAATGATCTCGTGGCTCTATTTAACCCAAATGTCAGCTACTTAGCTACTTCGGTGTACCTATTTTCGTTGGTCTCTTCCACGGAATTTGTTATGTTGTTGCGAGAGTTTGGTAAGAAGAAATTTGTGGAAAAATTTAATATTGAAGTGTGTAATAATAAATATTAAAGATAATGTAAAGATGTAATAATGAATTATTGTGAAAGTGATATTAATTGAGAAATGATAGTAAAGTGATATGAAGTATTTGATAGTGATGTGTTTACAGGAATAATAGAGTATTTGGTAGTAGAGTATTGGAAGTGATATTTGAGTAGACAATACTGAAGGATTTGAAGTAATACTGGAGTATCTAGTATTGAAGAATTCGAAGTAATACTGGAGTATCCAATATTAAAGTGTTCAAAGTAATACTGGAGTATTCAATACTAAAAAATTCCAAATAATACTAGAGTATCCAGTACTAAAGAATTCAAAATAATACTACAGTATCGAATACTAAAGTATTGACAGTAATACTATAGTATACAATATTAAAGTATTGACAGTAATACTATAGTATACAATATTAAAGTATTGACAGTAATACTGTAGTATCCAATACTAAAATATTGACAGTAATACTATAGTATCCAATACTAAAATATTGACAGTAATACTATAGTATCCAATACTAATATATTGACAGTAATATTATACTTTTCAATACTAAAGTACTGACAGTAATACTATAGTTTCCAATACTAAAATATTGACAGTAATACTATAGTATCCAATAGTAATTCATTGACAGTAATATTATACTTTCCAATACTAGAGTACTGACAGTAATACTATAGTATCCAATACTAAAATACTCGAAGTAATACTGAAGTACCCAATACCAAAGAATTCAACATAAAACTAGGCCATTCAAAGTAAACACTGAACAAACGCAAACATTTTGGTCGCCAACACAGGAACAGTAAATCGCGCGAAGGTGGATCTCGCGTAAACAGGCGACCAAGTTTCCCCTCAGCGTCCTTTCTTCCGGCCTCCTCCGCGGAGTAGGCTCACGTTCGCCGATAAAAGGGATGAAGATTAATGAATTGACCCACGTTACGCGGGAATTCGAACGACTCCGTCCTTACCGCGGGGGAACACGGCTCGATAAAACCGGATATCTATGCGACCTTTTCCCTGTTTTTCTCTTCCACTGCCTTTAATTTACGCGTTCCTCACCCTGAATTCCGGAATCCCCGAATTCCCGGCTTCCTCCTGTATGTCAATGATCCGAAGGAACCGTTCGTGCGAGTTTGGATTTTTAATTCATATTTTTATTGTTCTATTTTATTATTTTATCACTGTCAGTCGATATTCTTCGTGGTAAATTTGAACATTTGAACATCCAATCAGATTTCTTTAAATAATTTTTATACCAACGAGTTTCTTTTTATATTAAACCTTTGAACTCTGTAGTCTCCAATATTGCACCAGTTATAATATTAAATATTTTAATGAATCTTAAAACTACCCTAAAATTATTAGATTTTCTACACATCAGAATTTTGTACTAAGAAAGAAAATAAAAGATCGAAGAAATGTTATAGCATTTCTCATTTTCGCTAGGAATACTATAAAAATTAGTTGCAGTTACCGATAGATTATAAAACAACCTGAAGTGCTAAGGGTTAATATCTCTATTATATTAGATTATATTAAAATTAAGTAAATATTGTAAATTTTATTGCTGTCATTTGAAAATCGAATAAGACTTCTTTAAATAATTTTTATACCGCCGAGTTTCTTTTTATATTAATATTTCTATTAGATTAGATTATATTAAAATTAAGTAAATATTGTAAATTTTATTACTACCGTTTGATATTTTTTGGGGTAAATTTGAACATTTGAATATCGAATAAGATTTCTTTAAATAATTGCTATACCAACGAGTTTCCTTTCATATTAATATTTCTATTACATTAGATTATACTAAAATCAAGTAAATATTCTAATTGGAATCTAGTAATGAATAAGACTACGTATACGATGGTGTACGTAAACAATGTGTAACGGTTACAATAGAAGACATCAAGATGAAGGGAAGAGTTTATTGGTAATTACACCTCGATCGGAAAGAAAATAGAAGTTTCTTCTCAGGAATGACATACTAATTTACAAAGTTTATTAAAGCAAATTTCGGTAAATCGAGTCTCTTTATGGACAGCTGCAGCTATAAGCCGTATGGAAAAACTGGAATTATTCCAAAGGACGGCCCCTCGGATGATAGTTAACGCGCCAAGTTCCCAAGGAGTTCAGATAATAAGAAAAGATTTAGGTGTAACGTCAGTCCGAGATGAAATAACTAGATACACAAATAGAATCGCAACTCATCTGAACTAACTGGCAGGAGAAATACCCTTCATCCCCATCTCCAGGCAATTATGGAGGGTTCATCCCGTTTGCTCATAACAGAATCAATAGTAAAGAATTTCCTTTCTATAAACAACTATTTAATAAACGGAGTACTGATCACTTATAACAGAATCAATAGTAAAGAATTTCCTTTCTGTAAACAACTATTTAATAAACAGAGTACTGATCACTTATATAAATTATAAATTTATTATAATAAATAAATATTTCTTTTTATATTAATATATCTATTATATTAGATTATATTAAAATTAAGTAAATATTGTAAATTTTATTACTATCGTTTGATATTTTTTGTTTTAATATTATATAATATTAATTATATATAATAATTATCAATCATTAGAGTATAAATACACGTAACTCTATATTAAATGAAATTTAATTAGAAGGTTCCAAACGGTTTACGATGAAATTAGATCGATCAGTTCCTTGAGTATCATTTTACTATTACTATTTCTCATCAACAGTTACTATTTACAATTACCATCTTTCTAATGTAACCCTACATCAAATGAAATATAATTAAAATATTTCAAACGTTTCACAAAGAAACTAGATCGATCACTTCCTTGATTACCATTTTACCATCTACAATTACCATCTTTCTAATGACTTACCTTCTGTTTATATACGCACAACTATTCGAAGACAAGTGATTAATCACTGAAAGTCGTTAACACGTTGAATGCCGTGGACGTCACCGGTGAGCCTCGGTCAAATGGAATTATTATAATTCGGTTTATTAAATGATCATTATTTGAAAATATTTTTATATTACAAATAATGCTATCTAATGCGGTGACATTCGGAAAGAATGTCAAATACAACTTCAATGTAAAAACAAATACTAAATCTGTACTAAAAAATAACATAACATTGAAATCCAAAGCTACCTCTAATTTAAATCATCAGAAAACACTCTAACTTCAATGTAAAAACAAGTACTAAATCAATTAGTCAATTTCTTTAATAATTTCCTAAAGAAACATCTGTTACCTTTTCGATAATTGCAAAAAAGGGAAATCGGGAATGGGTCACTTTGCTCCGTCTGGTAGTTTTAGTGTTAAACAGTATTTAAAATGCAATATCGCAATGGCTCCCGACATTCTCCCAGAGTTTATACTCGCGTCGTAACAGTGTGGCGCCCACCTCCCACGACCGAGGAAAAAAAAATATCGAAAGTCCCCTAGTTCCCGAGCGATACGCACAATCGTCCTCCTCGGTGAGATCGCAATCGGGACCACGATCGAGCGACGCGTTCCTTGACATTAATCGTCATCCATTTTCTCGAGGTTCCGGCAACCCTACGTTCGTTGACGTAAATCGCTGCTATTAATAAGCTTCCTCGGTCTCTCCTGGTGTTCTTGACCGCGCGCGAACGATTGCAGTCTATACTTATAGCTCTCGCATTATGGTTCGAGAATGTGTTGACGGTTTCTTTATTTTCGTGGGAGAAAGATATACAATTCTTAATAAATTTGATTTGTTATGTTTATAAGATGATTGTATGAAAGGTGACGTGATCGTTGTAAATTGGAAAGGGGAGTTAGAGGATAATGAGGTAAGAATGGTAATTGATAAGGTAGTTTATAACGATAGTGATAATGAGGCAGTAGTATTTTTAGTTACTTAAGGTGTAATTTTAATTGTTTAAGAGTGAAATTGAATTTGAGAAGATTTAGAGTAAATTTGGAACCTGGGAGATTTGGGTAATATGATTGTAGAATTTAGTATTGGATACTATTTGTCAGTAAATGTTTTTAGGGATAGAGAGTAGTTGTTAATAGAAATTTTTAGAAATAGACAGCATTTGTCAATAAAAATTTCTAGAGATAGACATTTGCCAATAAAAATTTCTACAGATAAACATTTGTCAACAAAAATTTCTAGAGATAGACATCATTTGTGAATAAAAATTTCTATAAATCAATGTGCCAATAATAATGTGTATTATGCATCACAGACTGTATAAAAATTCATTGTCTACCTATTTTTATTTGTTACTCTGTACTACCAAATTGTTACTATTGAAGGATCAAAAGAAAGCGACAGAAGGTAGTGTCACGTGTGCACAGAGATGCGGTCTAGGGATACGAAACAACAGAGGGAGACGGAGTATAGAGGTGGATCAAGATTGAAGGAGGGGTTGTAGGCGGTTAAAGTAGCAGCGTTGAAAGGGAGACCAGTTTCAGTGGGTGAAAGGGGTTGAAAGGAGAATGACAGTAGCGAAGGTCTCGGGCCAGCCGACGCAGTAGTATAGCCACGAATTGTGCCGGCCAGTGACATGACGTATTGGGAAGGGATCAATTTTTGTCCGGACCGTGATGTGGGTCGGCTTTCTTGTTTTACATA